GGGCGGGGCCTGGGGAAATGGGGAGCTCCCTCCTGCACCCCACCCAGCGCGCCGGGCCCCAGCCTGACGAACTCACCTTGGGCAGACAGCTCCAGGGGGGACTCAAAGATGACCCTATAAGGGGTCATGAGGGTCCTGAGATTCTGGAACAGCTGAAAGGAGGGGCGGGGCCGTGAGTTCAGGGCAGGGGAGGGAGGGAGTCCAAGGGCATGACTGGGGAGGGGCAGGAACCCCCACAACTGGCTGGGCTGAGGCCCCAGGGGTTTCTCTGGGCGGGTTAAAGAGAGTGGAAAGGGTAATCTGAGAAGAAACGAGGGGGCCGCCTTCTGCCAACTGCTTTCATGGGTCTGGGGTCTCCGAGAGCCTGGGTGGGGCTTGGGGTCGCTGTACCTTCTCCCCGTTGGGGTTCCCCAGAATGTAGCAGCCCATAATGTGGACGACGTTTGGCTCTGGGTTCACTTTGCTCATCAAGCGGCTCAACCGCTTCCAGAAGCTGGTGGGGGGAGGGCAGGTCACAGGTGGGCTCCAACCCAGGCCCCAGGTGAGGGGGCGGGAGCANCCCTGCCACGCCCCCTGCTCACTGGATCATGTCCTCCTCCTTCAGCACCTTGGCAAAGGTGGCCACCTTGTTCTTCAGCAGGTACAGGTGCCCCGGGCCGCCCTGTGGAGACCGGTCAGCATGGCGTCCGCCCAGTGCTCCCCCATACGCACCGGGGCCGGCCCCCCACCCCGCAGGGAGGCGCCAAGCCCACCTGGCAGAAGATGAGCATCTTCCAGATCTTGGCTCCCTTGTGGTAGATGCTCAGCTTCTTCTCGATCTCCTCTGGGGGGGGAGGGCAGTGAGCGCGGCCCCCGACTCCCCAGGCCGGCGCGCACCCCAGCCCCCCCCGGAAGGCAGTGGGCACGGAGGGCGCATACCCAGGATGTCCTCGAAGGTCGCGTGCTCGTGGTCCTGGGACAGACAGGCCACACCTGAGTCAGAGCCCTCGGGCAGCACCCACCCGGCACCGGGGGCGGGCGCGGGGGGCACTCACGTAGAGGATGGGGATGATGGAGGGGTCGTCCCTGCGGATGATGGTGGGGATGTACTCGGCTTTGGGCACCTTGGAGGAGATGAGCTGGGGGCGACACAGGAGCTGCTCAGGCCGCAGTGGCCGCGGGGAGCCCCTGTGAGGTCACCCCCCAGCCGTGCAGACGGGGGAGACACCCCCAGGTAGCCCACACTGGAGCCCCGTGAGAAACCCCACCCCCTGCTGGGAGCCCACAGGGGCGGCATCGCCCCAGGCAGAGACAGCCGAGCTCCCGCGGGAAAAGGACCCCCCTCCCCAGACGGACGGAGGGGCACCTGAGCGGCCAGTCCTCACCATGACCTTGGGCGGCAAGAAGCCCTCGGTGTCACAGGCCACAGCCTCCAGGCCCTTCTCGGTCTCCCAGTCCAGGTCCTCAAAAGCCTCGCCCAAGGTGCAGTGCGAGCTCTGCAGGTCGCCGCCTGGGGGGCGGGGCGGGTCACCGGGACTGGCGCCTTCAGCCCACCTCCCTCCCGTCCGGGGGCGGTTCCCGGAGATGGGCGGAGGGCGGAGCTGGCGCGCCCCCTCCAGGAGGGGTCTCCAGGCCAGAAAGCACACGGGATGGGCCAGGGAGTGGAGCCAAGACCACCACCAGCCAGAAGCTGCCTGACCGGCCAGCAGGCCCGGGGCAAAGCTGGT